CGGGACCCTCTCCCTGATCCACCCTCCCTCGTGTGGGCAGACTTTGATGCGCCTCCCGACCTCCCGCCTGCTCCTGCTCCCTCACCTCCTCCCTCTCCTGCCATCGCACCATCTCCCTCTGAGGTCACTGACCCGGCCTCACCGGTGTCTTCGGCAGCTGCTCCTCCCTCCCCCTCACCTTCCCCACTTCCCGCTGCGCCGCCCCCTCCGAGCGCACCTATCACCTACCATCGGCGGTCCCACCCTCCGGCCCCACCTCCTCCCCCGGCTCCCCCCACCACAGAGGAACCCGCTCTCCCACAGTCGCCCGAGCTGATCACGTACCGCCGGCGACCCCTTCCCCCGCCCAAGCCTGCTAAGTCACCCTCTCCGACCCCGCCAGCCCCACCCTCTTCCCCGGTGGCTCATGGCACTCGCTCACATCGCGCTACTCTTCCACTCGCGATGGTTCTTCGATACACCGCGATCACACCGCCTCCTCCTGCTGGGGGGGATGTGCCCTCTACCCTTCTAGAAGACAGGCATGAGGAACTGTGTGATCTCCATGCAGTCCTTCCTCAGCTCTCACACATCTTCCCCGACATCACTGGCTCACCCTCCCTCAACTTCGCGGAGAACCCGACCATCCCTATCCCTCTCACCGTCCAAGAGGCTCTCTCAGGCCCTCATTCTGCCAAATGGCGTGCTGCCATGGACGCGGAGATTGCAGCATTCACCCGCAACCACTCCTTCGACGACGAGACTCCACCTCCAGGAGTCAACATCGTCGGGGGCAAGTGGTTGTTCCGTGTAAAACAGCTCCCAGACGAGGCACCGGTGTTTAAAGCGCGCTACGTAGCCAAGGGCTTCACCCAGCAGCAGTACCGCGACTTCTTCCTAACCTTCTCCCCCACATCCAAACCTCCCACCATTCGTACGCTCATGGATGTCGCAGCTCGAGAAGACTTCGAGATCAAATCCATGGATGCCTCATCCGCCTTCCTACAAGGACGTCTCAAGGAGACAGTGTTCATGGACAGACCAGAAGGCTTCCCAGGAGATTTCCCTCCCAACACTGTCTGGAAGCTGAATCGCCCCGTCTACGGCCTTAAGCAAGCCCCTCGCGAATGGCACAACAAGGTGAAAGAAGTCCTCCTCTCCCTGGACTTCCACCCTTCAACTGCTGACCCGACTCTCTTCATCCGCCGTCATTCTGAGCCCTTCTACATCCTAGTCTACGTGGATGATTTCATCCTCGTGGCCAAGGACTCGGCCCAGATGACCTCAGTCCAGGCAGCCCTAAGCAAGGCTCTCCAGATGAAAGACCTCGGTGACCTCAAGCACTACCTGGGGATGGAGATCACTCGTGATCGCAAGGCTCGCACCATCTCACTCTCCCAGGAGTTCTACATCGACAATGTGCTCAAGCGATTTGAGATGGAGCTATGCACACCTGTTGCCACCCCGCTGCCGCTGCAACACCTCCTCACAGCTCCAGCGGTACCCACACCAGAGGCCTGCTCTGAGCCATACCCGGAGCTTGTTGGGTCCCTCATGTACGCCATGATGTGCACCCGGCCAGACCTGGCCTATCCTGTCAGTGTCCTCTCTCGCTACGTGGCCCCTGGACGCTTCACTGACCTTCACTGGAAGGCAGCCAAGCGGGTGTTGCGCTATCTTCAGGGCACCAAGTCTCACGTCCTCACACTCGGTGGGCTCTCCCCTCCTCGCCTAGAGGGTTACACCGACTCCTCCTGGGCTGATGACCAGACCGACCGACGCTCCTCTCAGGGGTACTGCTTCACCCTTGGGAGCGGAATTGTCAGTTGGCGCTCCACCAGGTCGTCTGCAGTCTCCCTCTCCTCATGTGAGGCAGAGCTCTACGCAGGCACCATGGCTGCTCAGGAGGCTCGTTGGCTCACCTTCCTCCTCCAGGAACTTGGTTTCCCACAGTCCGCCCCTACCCTCTGGTGTGACAACCAGAGTACCATCCACATCTCTCAAGACCCTGTGTATCACACCCGCACCAAGCACATTGAACTCCGGCACTTCTTCATCCGTGACCTTGTCCAACAAGAGCAGTTGAAAGTGGAATACGTTGCATCTGACTGCAACCTGGCTGATCTGTTCACCAAGCCCCTTGGGAAAGTTCCCCACCACCGTCTCCTTGGCGCCATGGGGCTCTGTGCTCCACCCTCTCTACCCTGAGTTCGATTGACGCCTATGGGGGGGTGTTAGTGTTAGTCTTCAATCTCACAATTTGTACTTTGTATTTTCTATATCCTAGAGTAGTGTAGTTTGCACATTGTGTTTGGTTGGGTGTACACCTACATCCCAACCAAACCCAAATGTAATCTCCAACCAATCTCCAACCCACCAATTGGAGATTGCCTTGGGATTACCCCCAATCCCTAGAGATTGCCCCCGATTCCCTTCCCCATCCTTTTCCTACCCCTCTTGGATGTACTTAAAGAGCTTCAAGCTCATTACTAATGCATCGCTTCTAAGCCTATTTCTGACACCTATTTCTGACACCTTGCTCCTCACTCCTGCACCTCTCTTGTGCACCTCTCTCTCACACCTTCTCTTCACTTCCCTTCTTGCTTTTCACTGCTTCTGTCTCACCCCATACCGCGTATCAACCCTCCCCTCACCAGTTACGATGACACCATTCGCCTGTGGACAAGGGACCAGTGGAAGCAAGCCGTTCTGACACCCTCCAAGTCCACTCCTGCAACTCCCGAGGTTACCACTAACACGCGCCACCCACTCGTTCCTCCTCTCCGCCCCCATTTGGCTCCCCCACACCCCCATAAGCGTGGCAAGCTTGCATGCGCAAGCTGCTTGGCTCGCTCTCATATCTTCTATTTGTCGTCGCTATCTGCCCGTTCATCCCACCTGCCCGTTCCTTCCTCGCCCCTCTCCGCCTCATCCTCTCCATCCTCCCGCATCATTCTTCCTGGTTCCCTTTCCTTCCCTACGCCAGCCGCACATGTCAAGGCAGCACAACAACCTGACAGGCAAATGGGCCTCATCCTTCAGGTGATCCCTCAACCCTTGGGAATGCACCATCTCACTTCCTGGATCATTCTGCACCTCCTCTCTGGTCCCTCTGCCATATGGCTCAACTCCCAGCCTCACTCATTCCCCCTCCTCTCCTCAACCCCCTGCCTCCATATCCTCCAGAGCCGTGTGGGCGAGTGACAGTGAGCACGTGGTGGTGGGAGGCATGGGTCACTCTCTGGATATCCTCTCTGCTGCGTCAGGCACATGGTTACCTGCTCTCAGCAGCCCTGCCCGCATGGCATCCATTCCTGCACGCCTTGCCACGCACCCCTCTCTGCCCATCATCGCCGCTGGTGGCGCCAGTGGCCGAGTCTTTGTGTGGCGCCCCGCTGCCTCTGCTGCTGATGGTGATGGTAGTGATGATGATGACGTGGTTGATATAGCTGCTGTCGGTGATGCTGCCCATGGGGCGTGAGGCGGGTGGGATGGGACGGGCGGACCCCCAAGGCCTTAGTCTGAGGTGGTGCAGAGCACCAACTGAAGCCTGCAATATCGTAGCGCGTACCGGAATTCAGTTAAGTTCCTGTGTGTGTGATTGTGATACACTTCTCTGCTGGTCGTTTTCCAGAACCTGCCGCACGACCCCCTGCAGTAGCCGCGAGGGGCCGAGGAGGAGCACCAGAGGGAGGAGCAGCGGAACGCGGAGAAGACACAGGCCTGCACGCGCGGGTACAGAGTGGGAGAGAGCAGAGAGCAGCAGCGCGGGGATTGCGGGGAGTGAGTGACTCACTGCCGGAAGTCTTGAAGGCGGACTGCAGCTGCACGGGCTGCAGCAGCTCCAGCTGCCGGTACACACCCATGGTCCCGGTAACATTTCCCCCACCACCCACTACACAGCACCAGCACACAGCACCCATCCCCACCACACAGCACCCAGCGGCACCTTGGCGTGCTCGGCAGCGTGCAGGCGCACGAGGCGGCGGCCGGCGAGGCGGGCATAGACGAACGCGGAGACGTAGCCGCGCAGGCTGTTGCCCAGCCCGTGCCGCGGCATGAACAGCAGCACCCGCCGCTGGGGATGGGGGGGAATAGCTGCCTGGGGGGGGAGAAACGGTGGGGGAGATGGGGGGGAGGCCGCCGCTGCTGTTGCCGCCGCCCCCTTGGTTGTAAGCGAACAATTCGCTTCGGTGTCATGCTGTGCTAATGGTGACTACGATCGAGCTTCGGGCTCAAGTAACAAGGCGAATCGACTTTCTCTGAACGAAAGTGCTCTATGAATTATCGAGCAGATGAAAATCGGTAGGAGTCTAGGCCAGGGTGTCGCAGCGGGAGAAGTGGTGATAGACATCAAAGGTTGTGTTGTGAGCTGCGTAGCGTACCCAATGTGCAACACGGCAAAATGAGTTTTGGGGTTTTCTCGCTGCAGACAGCTTCGTTACTGAGTCTGTGCTTGCAAAAGAAGAAGCCGCTTATGAATCTTAGGAACAGTAGAGCTAATTATGACGCCTCAGTGCTTGGAAACTCGAGTGCTGCCGCGCACGACTTTTTGGCGGGGAACTGCGTGTCTCTCTATCCGCCAATCATTTCCTCGTTTGAATTTTCATTTCCTCCTGCCTCGTCTCGTCTGCTTGAAGCCTCCTTTCTCTCCACTCCACACCTCCAACACGCTCCACCCCTCGCTCGCTCACATAACCAGTGCCAGTGCCATATTCTTGTGCTCGTCTTTTTCCTCACGCGCTTTTCCAGCACACCACCAACCGCGTCACCAGAGTAGTGGGTACTTGTTCGCCGCTGCGCTGCCGCTGCTGGTGCTTCTGAGTGAAAAAGCTTTCAAGGGGCGTGCTTTCTGCTGGCGATTGATTACCACTCCTCACCATCCCGATTGACCTCAAACGGCCGTTTCGTGCTCGTTTAGTAACCTTTGAGTACCGTCTAGTACAGTCCAGTAAAGCTTAGTAAGACACGGTTACTAGTATTCCGCCTCTTTCTCGCGCGCGCGCGGAGGACTTGCGCGCATGGAGGCGGCGGAAGGCGGGTTGACGGCGTACGAGCGCCTGCGGCAGCAGATCCAGGAGCGCAATGCGGCCAAGCTCCGCCAGCTCGGCGTCACCGCGTCCGCGGAAGACCTCACCACCGCGATCGCCGCCAAAAAGCGCGCCGCCCCGTACGTGGGACAGGGCACGTAACGTGGATCATACTATCGAGGAGCTGTAGTCTCCTTTTCTACTCCTTTTCTGAAAAGATTGGCCTGAGCGCTGGGTTGAGGTAATGTTATTGAGCCCAGGGTTCAATCCAGAACCATCCCTTTCCTCTCCCTTTCAACGCGCTTATCCTCTTTTCGCCTGATTCTCGTCTGCTCCTGTCCTCCGCGCCGTGCCCTTCCCCGCGCAGAACCCGTCACAAGCCCCACCCCGCGGAACCGCAACAGCCCGTGCGCCGATCACTCCGCAATCGCGGCATGGCTCCAGAAAACGCTCCCGCCGATGGCGAGGGTGGCGGGGTGACTGTCTCCGCCAGCGCTGGCGCTCCCATCGCGGAGGAGGTTGCACCGAAAGGGCATCTGGTCGCGCGGAGTTTGAACCGCGAGGCGGAAGAGGACGCGGCGCTCATGCGCGTGTTGCGCGCGCGCATGGTCCCGCGAGGCTTTGCGCTAGAGACAGAGGAGGAGACGGTCGGGGACGAGGGCGAGGATGAGGGGGATGAAGAGCGCAAGCGAGAGGGAGACGGCGGGGCGCAAGGGGGGAGTTTTGTCGAACCTTCTGAGGGGGAGAAGGGCGGCGTGCGGAGATCGAAGCGGGGCGGGCGGGGAAAGGCAAAAGAGGCGGAGAAGGCGGAATCTGACGAAGCGAGCGACGACGTGGGGGGCGTGCGGCGGTTGTTCTTGTCCGGAAAACGAGTGAGGGGGCGAGGAGCAACCGGGGTGGAAGAGGGAGAGGGCGAGGGAGGAGGGGGAATGCATGGCGTGAAGGGGACTGCTGTGAAGGAGGAGGTAGGGGAGGAAGGGGCGGAGAGTGAGAGGATTAGAGAGCAGGGGTGGGTTAGGGAGGCGGTGGAGAGGGGGAGGTTGCAACTGGCGGAGGGCGATGTGGTGAAGCTGACCAAGGAGCGCATCCACAACGTCATCATGCTGCCCTTCCGGTATGCTGCCCTTCCGGTTTTCTGCCCTTCCGGTATGCTACAACGCCATATCTTGAGACATGTTTCAGCGAGCAGATCTCGAGACATGACTCAAGATCAATGTCATCATGCTGCCCTTCTGGAATGCTGGTGCTGATTGCCTGCCTCACTGCGTCAACAAGAACTGTCACTGCCTTAACGCATCGCAAATCGCCTCACCAGTCAGCCACCCCTGGTCCTTGGAAACTAAATATGCATTCTAGCCTCGCGCTGCGTCTCTATCACTTGTTGCCTATCCCGTCCTTCCGCTTGTTCACATGGCCTGTGCGCATACCAGTTCCCGTCTCTTTTCTCCCTTCCGTTCCCTCCCTCCCCCCCCTCCTCCCTTCCGCTCCCTCCCTCCCTTCTTTCCCTCCTTTCCGTTCCCTCCTGCATGCCAGGGATCGCCTGGTGGTGGTGGCAGGGGACAAGGCAGGGCAGGTGGGCGTGTGGGACCTGGGGGACATGGACGCTCGCGGCTGCTCTGCTGCTGCTGCTGCTGCGACTGAAAGCGGCAGTGCTGATGGCAGCAACGGTGGAGGGGCATCGGAGGGTGCGACGGGCATGTTCACCTTCTGGCCGCACCGCAACCCTGTGTCAGGCCTCGCCCACTGCCCTCTCTCGCTCTCCAATGTCAGTCGCTGCCCTCCTATCCTCGCCTCAAATCTCTCTTAGGTTTCTTACCGTTCTTGCTTCGCTCATCACTTGGTCATTCACTCGAACCCTGCCACTGGCCGTCTGCCTCCTCCTCCTCTGTCCATGCATGTCCCGTTCGCTCGTCCTCCCTTTTACTCCCCACCCCCAACTTCCCATTCCCTTACTCACAAATCCCCTCTCACCATTCCCCACTCACCACTCCTCTCCCCCACCACCAGGTCTACACGGCTTCATACGACGGAACCGTTCGCTGCCTGGACGTCACCCGAGCATCCTTCCTCCTCCTGCACTCCTCCTCCCAATTCTCCTTCTCCACCCTCACCTCCTCCCCGCCCTCCTCGCCCTTCTCCCCTCTCCTCCTCCTCGGAACCTCTTGCGGTCACCTCGTTGCTTTTGATCCCCGGGCATCCCATGGGGGCCCTGTGGGCAGCTGGGAAATTCACGGGAAAAAGGTTAGCACAATCAGCTTCTGCCCCGGGCAGGAAGAAATTATCGCCACGGCGTCGACTGACCGGACTGTGTGTTTGTGGGATGTACGGAAGATGGTGGGAGGGGGTGGGGGAGGGGGAGGAGGGGGCTTAGGAGGAGGAGGGAAGCGGAGGAAGACAGAGGAAGGGAAAGGAGCAAGTGGTGGGACTTCATTGTTCCGCGCCGCTCATTCCGCGTCAGCAGTTACTCCTCTCGTGAAGCTGCCCCATGCCCGTGCATCCAACTCTGCGTACTTCTCCCCCGATGGAGCCTTCCTTGTCTCCACCAGGTGTGCACCGTTACCTGCTGCCCCTTGCATCCCTCTTGCACCCCTCCCTGCTCCTCTCCCGTTCTCACCTTCCCTCCACTCCCCTCCGTTCTTTTCACTGCTGTCGTCTCATCCCATCACCACTTCTAAACACTTCATCCCCTTGCCCCCGTTCTCCAGTTACGATGACACCATTCGCCTGTGGACCAGGGATCAGTGGAAACAAGCCGTTCTGGCACCCTCCAAGTCCACTCCCGCAAACCCCAAGGTTTCCCCTCAATCCTGCACCCACCCACTCCGTCTCGCCTCACTTGCCCCCTCTCATCCCCTCAAGCATGCTTGAACAGTCTACCGTCTCTTACTTCTCTGCTCTGCCTCACTCGAAGCCCATTCCGTTGTGTGTGGCAAGCTTGAATGCACAAACCGTCTGGTTCTCTATCATGCTTGCGCGTCGCCGTTACCTGCCTATTTATCTCGCCTCCCCGGCCTTTCCGGTCCCCTCTCCTCCTTTTGTTCTCGTTCTTTCTGCATCCTCTCTCGTTGTTCCTCCCTTGCCTCACCTGCATCAGCCGCACATATCAAGGAAGCACAACAACCAGACAGGCCGATGGGTCTCGTCCTTCAGGTGATCCTGCAGTCCCTGAAACTCAACCTCCTTGCGTCTTGCAGTCCAATCAATGTTTGTCTGATTGTAGACCAAGCAATCAATGGGGAGCGATGACAGATTTTTTTTATGGCTCTTTGTGCACAAAATATATTTGTCACACCTGTCCCACTCATCACACTACCAGGTATCCATAGCTCCATCCCCTTAACCACACTCCTTCCCTCCCACCCCTTACAAACCTCCCATCCACTCACTCCTCTCCCCTCTCCCTCTCCTCTCTTCACCCCTCTCCCTCCGTATTCCCCAGAGCTGTGTTTACGAGTGACAGTGAGCACATGGTGGTGGGAGGCATGGGTCGCTCTCTCGATATCCTCTCTGCTACCTCCAACACATGGCTGCCTGCTCTCACCAGCCCAGACCACATGACATCCATTCCTGCTCGCCTTGCCACACACCCCTCCCTGCCCATCATTGCTGGTGGTAGCGCCAGTGGCCGTGTCTTTGTGTGGCGCCCTGCTGCTGCTGCTGCTGCTGCTGCTGCTGCTGCTGCTGCTGCTGCTGCTGCTGCTACTCATGGTGCTGCTGCTGGTGATGGTAATGATGGTGGTGACGATGATGGTGATGATGATGATGTGGTTCATGTCGCTGATGCTGCTGATGGGGCGTGAGGGAAGTGGGATGGATGACACTTCAAGGCCATGGCCCTAGTTTGAGGTGCTACAGTACAGCTTCCATGGCCTGCAATAGCATAGCTAGCTATGTAATAAAAACTGTGTTATAGCAGCTCCCACGTGTCACGGCGATACACTACTCTGCTAGCCGTTTGTCCGTTATCTCTGAGTTTGTTGCAGGCAGGATGTCAGCATTTGAGGGCTATTCTGGACAATGTCGAAAAGAACAATAAAACATTAGATACATATATACACAGCTGTTTCATGCCAGAATCTCATCTCATCCTCCCTGTGTAATGCACAAGCCAGATTCTCATCCTCCCTGTTCCAAACAAGTACGGTAGTTTGCCAAGGCTGACGATGCCGTTTGTTCACCATTCACTCTGCTCCTGTGCTGCTTGCGTTGGCCAGGGCAGGGAGCCCCCATGGCCCGGGCCTGGAGGAAAGACGATCCTGTCCTGATCCACTGCATAGTGCGGTGGGTGGCAGGCGAATGTGTGGGAGCACGAGGGGAGAGATGCGACAGTTAGAGAGACAGCATGTGGAGAGCACGCAGTGCGCAGCATTGAAGTGAGCAAGAGAGATGAGTGGGAGAGGCAAGGCTGTTATGCCGTGATAGTGACAGCCCGTGATGTGATGTGACGGGTGCATGTGACGCTGTGTGATGCGATGACATGTGTCTCACTTGTGTAGCCCCCTACGATTGGGTCTGATGCCAGCAGCAGCGGTGTGTCCAGGTCCACCCACCTGCACCAAGCGCACACAAGCGGTTCACACAGAGAGAGAAAGGCACAGAGTTGAGACATAAAGGAGAGGAGGGGGGGAGGAGGAGAGGAGCAGAGGAGGTGAGGAGGTGAGGAGGTGAGGAGACACACACATGCATGCACACAAACTAGCGTCGCACACATCACAAGGAGGTGCTGCAGTGGGGACATGCCCCTGTAACAAGTCAGGTGAAGAAACAGTGCCCAGAAAAGACTCACTGGAAGCACCCAAGTCCAGCAGCCACGTGAGCCGCAAACCCCATGGCAAGGCGTGTCTCCACCATGCCCCCAATCATCAGCTGCAGCGGCTCCCCTTGCCTCCCCTGCGCCGCATTCGCGCGCAGCACAGCAGCAATGACCCTCAACGCGCCCACCACACCCGTCTTGGCAAGCTTCACGTTCACGCCTGCCGCTGCTCCCTCGTGCACGATCCGCCACACGTCCCCCTCACCCCTGCAGCTCTCGTCTGCTACCACCACCGCTGGATGTGCTGGTGCAGGTGATGGCGGTGTGCGGCAGGAGGCGGCGTGGAGGCGGGAGAGAGTGGCTGTGAGGGAGTGCATGGCCCGCCAGTTGCTGCGATGGAAAGGTTGCTCTAACACCCGCGGGCTTATGCCGTGCTCTGGGAGGGGACAGGGAGGGCAGGGAGGACAGGGAGGGCAGGGAGGACAGGGAGGGCAGGGAGGACAGGGAGGGCAGGGAGGACAGGGAGGGCAGGGAGGACAGGGAGGGCAGGGAGGACAGGGAGGGAAGGGAGGACAGGGAGGGAAGGGAGGACAGGGAGGGCAGGGAGGACAGGGAGGGCAGGGAGGACAGGGAGGGAAGGGAGGACAGGGAGGGAAGGGGGGACAGGGAGGGAAGGGGGGACAGGGAGGGAAGGGGGGACAGGGAGGGAAGGGGGGACAGGGAGGGAAGGGGGGACAGGGAGGGAAGGGGGACAGGGAGGGAAGGGGGGACAGGGAGGGAAGGGGGGACAGGGAGGGAAGGGGGGACAGGGAGGGAAGGGGGGACAGGGAGGGAAGGGGGGACAGGGAGGGAAGGGGGGACAGGGAGGGACAGGGGGAAGGGGGGACAGGGAGGGAAGGGGGGACAGGGAGGGAAGGGGGGACCGGAGGACCAGGGAGGGAAGAAAGGACGGAGCGGCAATGGTGCAATGAGGTAGGGTGCTGAGGTGATTGGGAGACTTCTCACAAGCTGTGGATTAGGAAGAGTGGAGGGAGCAGGCGGTCAAAAGAGAGCAAACCACAGGAAGAAAACAGCAAGCAAGCAGCGCAGCAGCGGTCACCTGCAAGGCGTGAGAGGAGGTGCAGGACAGCAGCAGCAGTGCGGTAGCCCCCATTCGCGTCCAGCAGCAGGCAGCAGTGCGGCACTGCCTCTCGCACAGCCACCACCCGCTCCAGATCTGCCTGCACCAGCTGCGCCTCCCACCCCTCCATCACTCCCACCTCCTCCCTCCCCTCCCGCCAGCGCCGCTTCTCCCTCCCGCCCCATTCTCTCTCATCCTGACCCTGCCCAGCACGCGCAAGTTCGTCCACCAGCGGTGACTGTAACGAGAGCTCTTGCAGCGCGTGCGCAGGGAGCGGCGAGTGAGAAGCGGGCAGCGCGCCGAGCTTGATCTTGAAGCAGGAGAAGCCGTGAGAGTGGTAGGAGTGGGCGAGAGACTCTGCTGACTCTGGCGAGCAGATTGGGATCTGATGCGCGCAGGGGGAGGGGGAAAGGGGAGGGTCGCGGGATGGGGGGAGGGGGAAGGGGGGAAGGAGAAGGTTTGGGGGAGGAGAGGGGAAGGAACGAGAAGTGGAGCATAACGAATAGCGCCCGGAAAAGCACTCTGTTAGAACCTAAAGTCAACTCATCGTGTCCGTGATTCCCCTGGGCCCTTCATTATTTTCCCTCCGCCCCCTGCGCGTGTATGTTTTTTCTCCCTCACGTTCCCCTAGCTCCTCACTTACGGTGATATCGGTGGAGAGCGGGCGGCTAGATGAGGAGAAGAGTCGCCAGAGCGGCAGCGAGAGTGCTGATGCAAGCGCGTCTAGAACGGCCATTTCCACTCCCGCACGTGCCTTGGGAGCGAAGAAGGGAGAGCGGAAGGGGCGGAAGGTGGGGTTGGAAAAGAAGCATGAATGTGGTTGGCAAAAGCAGGTAAACAGGCGCTTTTCGATAACTCTCATGAAACGCAAGCACATAGACAGGCACAGTCAGGGACTCGAGAACCCTCTGTTTTTTTTTTTTTTGTTTTTTTTTTTTTAGATTTCTCAAAAGTTATCATCAGGCAGTCGGCAAGATGGTTCAGGCTTTCATATGTGGCATCCCTTTCCGTTTCATTGGATCCATACACCATTCTCTGCGGCTCCACTCAATCCCAAGTTGGATTCCATCATCCCCACGTGCTAAACCACATCACCTGGTAAGACGACCATCACATGCGGCCATACGAGAACTGAAATATTGACACGAATATTGAAGGACATACCGAAGCGAGCCCATGGCCCGGTAAAACCCTTTGCTCCAGCCGCAGCAGCAGCTCATGCCACCTCATAGGCGGTTGCGCCACCATCCAGTCACGCGCGCGCGCGCATGCTTCTAGGATCGTCTCCTGGTCCTCCTCCGTAACTGACGGCAGCACAGGTGCTTCCCCCCAACCCACCGCTTCGATCATTCCTCCGCCGCTCCCGTTTTCCTCCGCCCCCCGCCCGTCGCCCTCCCAGCCAAACACTCCCGTTTCCTCAGATCCAGTGTCATACTTCTCTTCCCGCACTTCCGGCTTTCCCCCTGCGCAAGCGATACGGAGAACAGCGCGGATGGCGACGTTGGGGACGGCGGAAAGGGTGGCGGAAGCGATGGTGAAGGGCTCGCGGAGCGGTACGTTGAGGGGGCGCGCCTCAAGCTGCAGGATCTGCACCGGCGGCGCGGAACGCGCCTCCGCGGACATTAGGCGGAGCCATTGCGGGCCCGCTGCGGGGAGGAGCGGCGGCAAAGGGGACATGTCGGTGGCGGATCCGGTGGCTAATGACGCGACGGCTGCAGGAAGCGACGCGACTGGGGCGCGGGAACCGCCGGGAGTAGAGAGGGGCACGGGCGAGAAGGGGGAACGGACGGGTGAACCAGCAGCGGTGTCAGGAACCTCACGCGGCATGGCGGATCTGAATGACGGACGGCGGCGCGGAGGAAGCGAAAAAGAATGGCGCATGGGCGTCGTTAGCAAGCGCGAGGGAAGAAATTTGATTTGAGGCGTACACGCCGGTAGTCCCGAGGTGCACAGATCCGTCTTGATACGAGAATTCCAAGTTGGAAGTAGGACGTTAGACCAGGGGTTCCTCTGAGATCGAGGTTGCCACAGGCCTGGTTTCCCATCGAAGCGCGGCAACGTCTGTGTCGGAAGGTTGAACGCCATCACGAGCCTTTGTCTTGCCAAGACACTGAAAGCCAATTCTCTTCTAAAACTTGGTAGTAATAAATCTCACTTGGCCTTAGCCCTGTGGGATAGAACCGAGGTGAAGCCACCGATGAATTCTTCTTCGGGCGTGCGATGCGTGCGTGAATAAGCATTTGAATGACGCGGCTCGGGATTCTCTAGCCCAAGTTTATTGCTGGCGAAGGGGTGAATTGACGTGGCATGGAGGTTATGCTGTGGCATGCCTGGCGTGCTGACATAGGGAGAAATCAACTTCTCCTTGAACACGATTGGTGGAAAATGAGAGCTGCCTTGCCATTGGATGTAAAGTCCACGGACACGGAGGGTGGTGGTGAGCACTTCAGCGGAGTTTTCAAATGAACCAGACCTTCTACATGCTAAAATTAGCTCTCCCCAACATCAAAAGCAGTAAATGTCCATCTTTTTTATGAGGCTGTTATAGGTAAAAGCATATATACATGTTTGCAAAGGTACCCCATATCATATATCTCATCACATTATGATATTTAGGAATAAATAGACTGAAATAATGGGTTTTAACGAGCCAACTTAATAATCACAATCAGCTCTTAGGGTTTAGTGCTGAAATTGTATAAGGAAAATGTTTTGAAACCTTCACTTCTGTGTACCTTACATGTACCTGACTGAACCACACCAAAGCGCTCTTCAGCCACCGTTTTCTAAGATCCTTCGTGGCGGTGGAGGCCAACTGTAGCCGCAAGGTCTGAACGAGGCACCTGAAACAGTACTCGTCCCCGTTACACCATTCCCCTGAGCTCTCAACTGTTCACAGCACAAGCCAAACAGAGCCACCCTTACCACGAACCCGGAGCAGAAAAGCTTTGATCTAATTGGCTGGCCGCCGCACCGCATCTGCACAAAACTGACTGCTGGCAGTTAGGCGCATCCACGGCCTAGGCTGCTCAGCTCTGGCTTACGGGATTGTGCTGCACGGTGATTCCATGCGGGAAACCCAGGGGGGGGATGGTTCGCTCCGCGGAGCCACCTGCTTCTACCGCAGATCACACAGGGTGTGTCGGACCACAGCCGCAGATCACCGCAATCCTCAACCGCAGCACCGCAATCCACAGCCGTGCAGGATCATCCCCGCATTGGCAAAGTAGCCCCCATCTTTGCCCCACTTCCGCTCCGCACCGCGCAATCGAGCACTTTCGTTCATTTGCTCTCTTGTTCTTGCTCGCAGGCTCTGCAATCTGCCACCAACCACGCGAACAAAAACACTTTTTGTGAAAAAGAAACAGCTGACTCCCAACCTACACATTCAGCCTCGCATGGCTGCGTTGAACCTGTGCCCTGTCCGCAGCTGACAAAGCGCATTTTGCTGTTGCCCTCTCATCCAGGAATAATGGCTTCCGCTTGAGCCGATCGTGTTTGGCTGCTAATCTTGAAACGTTATTCACTTCCGCAGAGCCACGTGGCTGCTGGCTCATGGACGACCGCTTCCATCGTGATAGTAACGGCAGCATATGCCGGCCTTATCTCGGAAACTCTACTCCAATGGCGGCTGTGGGTATCACACCCAGCGAAACACACGCAATGTTTGAAATATCGCCTTTCCTTGTCAGTCTTTTCTTCTCGCCTTGTAATCGACTGCCTCGCAGATGCCACTCTGCCTTACCTTCATTCATTTTCATTTTTTGCTCGCGTTGCGTAACTCTTGGCTCGAACCTCCGCGTATCCGTCTCTTCCGCCTGCGTGCATGCACCAGCCCACTCACCGTCGTGGTCGCGCCGCCCTCGTGTCTACGACTGCCACGTGTTCAGATTCCCAGTCCCACGCCTCGTCGCTCTTGACGTGAGTTCCTACGCTCAGTACCCACGCGCCTAGCGCGCCGCGCAAACGTCTCTACCGCATTGCTCCTCGTTCGCCTTCTCGTCGTCGCAACGCTCCGAGCCTCCCTTCGCTGTAAGCACTTGCCCTCCTTGCCCACTAGTTCCCTTGCCCTAGCAACTCCATTCGATCTCCCACGCTGACATCTTTTACCCACTCCCTCACCCCGCTCCCCTTCTCTCTCCATTGCCCCCGTCACAATTTCCAAGTTCCCGTCGTTGATTTTCTCCAATTCCCTTGAATACCTTTTCCTCCCACACCACTTCCTCCGCCGCTCCTTCCTCCAATCTTTCCCCTTCCGCCCCTTGCGCAAGTCTCCCCACTCGCCGTGTGTTCGCGGAAGACAGCAATCACCGCGCCCATCCCGCTCCCCGCAAACCGCCCCCCGCCAAGCCCGCTTCCGCCCCGCCCACCTCCTCCATCCGCGCAACGGCTGCGAGAAACCGCGCAGCGCGAAGCGGCAGAAACAGTAGCGTCGACGGCGGCAGCGGCGGCGGCGGCGGTTCGACGAAGCAACACGCGAGTGTTGAGACATCAGAGACGGCGGAGGCGGCGGCGTGGGACGCGTACGACTCGGCGTTCGAAAGCGTTCTCGCGAGCATGTGGGACGGCGTGGGCAGTGATGCACGAATCGAGACGCGCGGGGGAACCTGGAAGAGCGAGAGAATCGGGACGAGCGCCAGACAGGCGGAGAGTCCGCGCGGGGAAGACCGCGACCGCGAGGCTGGCGGGACGGGGACGGCGGGTGACGACCGCGCGAGTGACGCGCACGAGCGGAACGAGATGAATGCGTTGGGGGTGTCCAGCAGGGAGTCGCCTGGTGACGAGCGCGGTGCATGGGGAATGACGAGGGGGATGACGAAAGAGACTCTCGGTGAAGCAAGGCTAGAGGCGGGTGGAGTAAGACAAGATGATGGTGTTGAAAGCTCGAGCGGAGGGGAGTCTCGCGACGAGAGCAGCGCAGCGGGCTGTCACCTCATGCCACTCGCTGCGTCTGCATGGTGTCACTACGGGGAGAGCTCCAGCTTCCCACTGACGCACAGCCACCACCACCACGGCGACCATGGCGACCATGGCGACCACAATGATGGGGACGACGATGACGCCTCTTCCCTCTGCGACGAGCCTCTGCCGCTCTCCACCCTCCCCCACGGCTGCCACTGGCCTCTCTCCCACCTCCCTCCTCCTCCCACGCTCATTCCGCTTCCTGAGCCTATTCCTCCGCCTGCTTCCCCTGCTTCGTCTGCCTCCCCTGCTGCTTCTGCTTCCCCTGCTACTTCCGATTTTCCTGCTTCTCCCCCTACTCCAGCTTCTCCTGCCACCACGGCAGCTGCAGCCAGCAGCCCCTTCTTTCGAGCTCTCTTCAGCGAATCACCCGTGCCTGAATTGCCGCAGCCCTTGGAACGCTTCCCTGATGGCTCAGAGGGAGCATTTCCGGCGCTCATGCCGTGCAGTTCCCTGCCTTGCAGCCCGCTTCCTTACAGCCCCACGGCTAACAGCCCTCCCTCGTGGCCCGGCAACGGCCGCCTGAGCCCTGCAAGCAGCCTCTTACTCCTGGACACTCTCATCCAAACGCCCACGCACCTAGACAGCCGGAGCAGCTCTCATCACTCGGAGCAGCGGTGGGATGACCAGTGGCACAGAGAGGCCTGGAGAAGCAACAGCGACAGCACGGATCTGCACCGCAGCAGCAGCAACAGCAGCAGCAGCAGTGACGGCAGCAGCTGTAGCGGCGGGACGGCTGCAATCGGTGGGGAGCAGGTGGAGGATCTCGCGGCTATGGCGTACAGAGGCGGAAACCGGTTGGGAGGGGTAGACGCCCCGCTTCTCCCTGCGTCTTCTCCTTATTCTCCTTCTGCTGTTGCTGGTGGTGGTGGTGGTGGAGGAGGGCTTGGGTGGTTTCTACCGACAGACACTCTGGATTACATGGCTCAGGTGCAGAGCAGCGTGCAGCGCGAGCTGCACTCGTGGCTGGACGGGCTAGGAGAACGCACCAAGGGCCTGCGGGAAGACATGCAGGAGCAGTTTGGACGCATGAAGGAGGAAATGGCGGTGACTTTCAATGTTCTGGAGGAGGAGATTCAGGAGATGGTGGATGAACTGGAAGATGAAGGGTTGTTACCGGATTGGACTAAAATGTTTGATGATGATGGGGGTGGGGAGGATGAGGAGTGGGAGGAGCTGGTGAGTGGACGGGGGAGAATGAGGGGTGGGGTGGAGCGGGAGGAGGAGGAGAAGCGGCGGTTTTTGCAAAAGGTGATGCTGGCTCAGCGTGTGTATTTCGATATTCATGGGGAGGTGGTGCGGCGTGTGCAGGTGAGGGAGAGGAATGGCGGTGGTGGTGGTGCCGGTGTTGGTGGTGTGGTGAAGGCGAGCAGAACTGGACCAGCGTGCATTCCAGTTACTACGAAACACATGGAGAGTGCTGCCGTCGTGTTCTAGTGTTTGATGAATGGTTTGCTGATCTGGTGGCCCGGGCAGGTGTGTGCAGCTGAGCCGAGCACTGAATCTGATACATGCAGTTGCTTTTTACTAGAATGCTGGGATGATGGAGGGACCAAGTGGTATGGGGAGTACTTTAATCAATAAAGTTTACTGTCAGGACCCGTTAAGTAGAGATAAGATACATATGACAGCAATAAACACCTTACGGTAACATAACGTTCCGTATGCTGCCATTCCGTATACCATAAGAGTGCTTGCTTGGAAAGTATTAACCTGACTATTTAATGAAAGTTGGTTGTGCAGGACGGACCGGACGGTTCCTTATCTTGCGGTACCTTACCGTACGTGCTCTGTCGCAACCCTCCCACACCCTTGCTGGCTTGGCAAAAGGACCAGACAAGCGCAGCCACGTGATCTGTTGGAAGAAAAACGCTTGGAATGAGCGCTTCTACCCCCAATATGGTGAAGGATCCGCATTCGTGCAGGAAGTGCAGCGGGCGCTCTTCATTTGCGAGCGCCGATAACCGATGATGCTCGCAACCCTCCCACGCCCTTGCTGGCTTGGCAAAAGGACCAGACAAGCGCAGCCACGTGATCTGTTGGAAGAAAAACGCTCGGAATGAGCGCTTTCCTCCCCAAAACGCGGAAGGATCCGCACATGTGCACGAAGTGCAGCGGGCGCTCTTCATTCGCGAGCGCCAATGACCGATGATGCTCGCAACCCTCCCACGCCCTTGATGGCTTGGCAAGAGGACCAGACAAGCGCAGCCACGTGACCCGGTGGAAGAAAAACGCTCAGAATGGGTGCTTTCACCCCCAAAACGCGGAAGGATCTGCACATGTGCAGGAAGTGCAGCGGGCGCTCTTCATTTGCGAGCACCGATGACCGATGATGCTCGCAACCCTTCCACGCCCTTGCTGGCTTGGCAATAGGACCAGAAAAGTGCAGCCACATCATCTGTTTGAAGAAAAACGCTCGGAACGAGCGCTTTCACCCCCAAAACGCGGAAGGATCCGCACATGTGCACGAAGTGCAGCGGGCGCTCTTCATTCGCGAGCGCCGATGACCGATGATGCTCGCAACCCTCCCACGCCCTTGCTGGCTTGGCAAAAGGACCAGACAAGCGCAGCCACATGACCCGGCGGAAGAAAAACGCTTGGAACGAGCGCCTCCACCCCCAAAACGCGGAAGGATCCGCACATGTGCACGAAGTGCAGCGGGCGCTCTTCATTCGCAAGCGCCGATGACCGATGATGCTCGCAACCCTCCCACGCCCTTGCTGGCTTAGCAAGAGGACCAGACAAGCACAACCACCTGACCCGGCGGAAGAAAAACTCTCAGAACGAGCGCCTCCACACCCAAAACGCGGAAGGATCCGCACATGTGCAGGAAGTGCAGCGGGCGCTCTTCATTCGCGAGCGCCGATGACCGATGATGCTCGCAACCCTCCCACGCCCTTGCTGGCTTGGCAAGAGGACCAGACAAGCGCAGCCACGTGACCCGGTGGAAGAAAAACGCTCGGAACGAGCGCTAGTACCCCCAAAACGCGGAAGGATCCGCACATGTGCAGGAAGTGCAGCGGGCGCTCTTCAATTCGCGAGCGCCAATAACCAATGATGCTTGCAACCCTCCCACGCCCTTGCTGGCTTGGCAAGAGGACCAGACAAGCGCAACCACATGACCCGGCGGAAGAAAAACGCTTGGAACGAGCGCCTCCACCCCCAAAACGCGGAAGGATCCGCACATGTGCAGGAAGTGCAGCGGGCGCTCTTCATTCGCGAGCGCCGATGACCGATGATGCTCGCAACCCTCCCACGTCCTTGCTGGCTTGGCAAAAGGATTAGACAAGCGCAGCTACGGTACCCGGTGGGAGAAATACGCTCGGAACGAACGCTAGTACTCCCAAAACGCGGAAGGATCCGCACATGTGCAGGAACAGCAGCGGGCACTCTTCATTCGCGAGCGCCAATTACCGATGATGCTCGCAACCCTACCACACCCTTGCTGGCTTGGCAAGAGGACCAGACAAGCGCAGCCACGTGACCCGGCGGAAGAAAAACGCTTGGAACGAGCGCCTCCACCCCCAAAACGCGGAAGGATCCGCACATGTGTAGGAAGTGCAGCGGGCGCTCTTCATTCGCGAGCGTCGATGACCGATGATGCTCGCAACCCTCCCACGCCCTTGCTGGTTTGGCAAGAGGACCAGAAAAGTGTAGTCACGTGACCCTGTGGAAGAAAAACGCTCGGAACGAGCGCTAGTACCCCCAAAACGCGGAAGGATCCGCACATGTGCACGAAGTGCAGCGGGCGCTCTTCATTCCCGAGCGCCGATGATCGATGATACTCGCAACCCTCCCACGCCCTTGCTGGCTTGGCAAGAGGACCAATCAAACGCAGCCACGTGTTCCGGTGGAAGAAAAACACTCGGAACGAGCGCTAGTACCCCCAAAACGCGGAAGGATCCGCACATGTGCACGAAGTGCAGCGGGCGCTCTTTATTCGCGAGCGCCGATGACTGATGATGCTCGCAACCCTCCCACGCCCTTGCTGGCTTGGAAAGAGGACCAGACAAGCGCAGCCACATGACCCGGCGGAAGAAAAACGCTTGGAACGAGCGCCTCCACCCCCAAAACGCGGAAGGATCCGCACGTGTGCAGGAAGTGCAGCGGGCGCTCTTCATTCGCGAGCGCCGATGACCGATGATGCTCGCAACCCTCCCACGCCCTTGCTGGCTTGGCAAGAGAACCAGACAAGCGCAGCTACAGTACCCGGTGGAAGAAAAACGCTCAGAACGAACGCTAGTACTCCCAAAACGCGGAAGGATCCGCACATGTGCAGGAAGTGCTAGCAGCGGGCACTCTTCATTCGCGAGCGCCAATAACTGATGATGCTCGCAACCCTCCCACACCCTTGCTGGCTTGGCAAGAGGACCAGACAAGTGCAGCCACGTGACCCGGCGGAAGAAAAACGCTTGGAACGAGCGCCCAAAACGCGGAAGGATCCGCACATGTGTAGGAAGTGCAGCGG